CCAACAAACTCAAACATCTCATCATTGTGTACCAATGTTGTGTTCGTCATACATTCAGAAATCACTATATTGTATAACAATGTTGTGTTCTGTCACACATTCAGAAATCACTTTATTGTGTATCAATGTTGTGTTCTGTCAAACATTCAGAAATCACTATATTGTATAACAATGTTGTGTTCTGTCACACATTCAGAAATCACTATATTGTATAACAATGTTGTGTTCTGTCATGCATTCAGAAATCACTATATTGTATAACAATGTTGTGTTCTGTCACACATTCAGAAATCACTTTATTGTATATCAATGTTGTGTTCTGTCATATATTCAGAAATTACTACACTATAAGATCAGCTAATGTTTATTTCTGGAGCAATAAGCCCAGAATAAAGTACACTACCGAAAACTGACTGGCCAAATAAATACATACCATGTCTTATATGTAGGTCAAAGTTTCTCATATTTCTGAAGATATTACTCTAGTTTCCCTTTACGAAGGTATCACTAGGGAGCTAAAGAAAATATATCTAAATTGAAATTTCCTTAAGCATTTCCTGGAGTTAAAGAATGCTCGTGGAAGCGGGACCTGGTTGTATAATCCTCAAGTGTCTCACATATAAATATGCAGCAATCTTGAGCTGGAATGCGTATTTCAATTAGCAAGTGTTTTAACGGAAAATATACATTAAATGTTATCAAGCCAACACCAGGCATATATATACTACAGTGCTGGTACAGTGATGTAAGGACACCTGTTTTGAACCAGTATTCTGATAAGCCCCATACGACAACGTGTTACGTGTTTAAAAGTATCTTGATGTGGCGTTTAATGCTAGATCTATGACGTTTAAATCATCAATGACTGAGTGAATAGAATACTTATATAATGCAGCTGCCTAACTACTTTTGAAATACACACGTGTCAAGGTGTTTTGAATCCTTTATCAAATGCTCTGTCGAATGCATCAAACCAGATCTCTAGATCAAAAACCAGGAGCAACATCTAAAGTCACAGGCAACATTTGATAATAACCAATCGTGTGACAGGGGTCAAGCTCCAGTATATTATTGATAAATAACGGAAACATCGTAGCATATGCGTCCAACTGCAGTTATAATTGGTCACATCACATCACAGGCGTCCAACTGCGGTTATTAGATGGATAAATCACATCTGAGGCGTTCAACTGCAGTTATAAATGGACAAATTACATCAGAGGCGTTCAACTGCAGTTATAAATGGACAAATTACATCAGAGGCGTACAACTGCAATTATAAACGGACAAATTACATCAGAGGCGTTCAACTGCGGTTATGAATGGACAAATTACATCAGAGGCGTTCAACTGCGGTTATGAATGGACAAATTACATCAGAGGCGTCCAACTGCGGTTATTAAATGGACAAACTACATCAGAGGCGTCCAACTACGGATATTAAATGGTCAGATTACATCAGAGGCGTTAAACTGCGGTTATCAAATGGACAAATCACATCACAGCCGTCCAACTGTTATTTCTTAATAAGGGTCACAACAAGTTATAGACGTCGAATTGCAATTGATAAATAATGGACATTATATCTTTATCTACCAGGACATTATATCTTTATCTATCAGGACAATATATCTTGTTCTATCAGGACATTATATCTTTATCTATCAGGACAATATATCTTTATCTACCAGGACAATATATCTTGTTCTATCAGGACATTATATATTAATCAACCAAGATCTTATAAATTCATCTACCAGGACATTATATATTCATCTATCAGGACATTATATATTTATCTACCAGGACATTATATATTTATCTATCAGGACATTATATATTTATCTACCAGGACATTATATCTTTATCTACCAGGACATTATATATTTATCTTTACATTATATCTTTATCTGCCAGGACATTATATCTTTATCTATCAGGACAATATATCTTTATCTATCAGGACAAAATATCTTGTTCTATCAGGACATTATATATTTATCTACCAGGACATTATATATTTATCTATCAAGACATTATATCTTTATCAACCAAGATCTTATAAATTCATCTACCAGGACAATATATCTTTATCTATCAGGACAAAATATCTTGTTCTATCAGGACATTATATATTTATCTACCAGGACATTATATATTTATCTATCAGGACATTATATATTTATCTACCAGGACATTATATCTTTATCTACCAGGACATTATATCTTTATCTACCAGGACATTATATCTTTATCTATCAGGACAATATATCTTTATCTATCAGGACAAAATATCTTGTTCTATCAGGACATTATATATTTATCTACCAGGACATTATATATTTATCTATCAGGGCATTATATATTTATCTACCAGGACATTATATCTTTATCTACCAGGACATTATATCTTTATCTACCAGGGCATTATATCTTTATCTACCACGGCATTATATATTTATCTACCACGACATTATATATTTATCTATCAGGACATTATATCTCTTTATCTATCAGGACATTATATATTTATCTACCACGACATTATATCTTTATCTACCAGGACAATATATATTTATCTATCAGGACAATATATCTTTATCTACCAGGACATTATATCTTTATCTACCAGGACAATGTATCTTTATCTACCAGGACTTTATATCTTTATCTACCAGAACCTAACATCTTTATCTAGGACATTATATCTTTATCTACCAGGACATTAGAACTTTATCTACAAGGATATTATAACTTTATCTATCAGGACAATATATCTTTATCTACCAGGACATTATATCTTTATCTACCAGGACAATGTATCTTTATCTACCAGGACAATATATCTTTATCTACCAGGACTTTATATCTTTATCTACCAGAACCTAACATCTTTATCTACCAGGACATTATATCTTTATCTACCAGGACATTAGAACTTTATCTACAAGGATATTATAACTTTATCTACCAGGACATTATATCTTTAACTACCAGGACATTATATCTTTATCTATCAGGACATTATATCTTTATCTATCAGGACATGATATCTTTATCTACCAGGACATTATATCTTTATCTACCAGGACAATATATCTTTATCTACCAGGACATTATTACTTTATCTACCAGGATATTATTACTTTATCTACCAGGACATTATAACTTTATCCATCAGGACATTATATCTTTATCTACCTGGACATTTTATCTTTATTGATCAGGACATTTTAGATTTATTTATCCTAAGATTCTGTTACATAGTATCACCTACTATAAAATGCAGAAAAGGGCATGACAGAAGGCGACATGCACACTACTCGTCGGACACTTTCCAACATTCCAATCTGCTTCGCCGGCATTGGAATTTTCAGAGTTTATTTTTGTTTAGAAGTTATACATAAAGAGTGTCCCGTAGTTATTTTCTTTTACGCAATCCGTAACATTCAAATTGCATTTTCAAAAACTTACACAGAAATGTAACACTCCAGTAGTCGAGAAAATTACTTTTTCGGTCATCTGTCAAATCCATTTCGGAATGAAATGAATTCAATACGCCTTTCTCAGATTTGTACGATTGCAGCTGAACATGGAATCCAAAAAAAACTCTAGAAATCCAAAAAGGACAATTGAGAAACATTCGACAGCATGTTTAATATTAACAAATCTCGCAATCTATCGAACACCAAGAGTAAGTATGGTATTTCAAACCATGTACACTGCTGTTCTCACGCCGCATGTGGTTAATTAGGGCATGTTCAGTGGTTAACATGCTGATCATAGAGTTCATTGTAATATAACTGCCATAATGACATTACTACACCCCTCATTAGTAAATGTTTATTATTGAGGTGTGGAGATATGTATGCGTTCACAAGTTCTTAATGAGAAACTGGACAACTGATGTGAGTACAAACTGAGGTCACAGTTACGTCTGTTATACGTGTAGTGTGTAGTATAAGCGCTGACGTTGTACGTGCCAATGAAGACAAACACCCGCATGCATTTATACGTACAGCCCCCCTCCCCACAACCCCCTGTTCTTCCTTGTAATTACACTGAACTTGTGCAATGAAGATCCGCACTTATAGAAGAAAGCTGTTTGAATGAGCATATCTAAAGGGTTTTGTATGTGCAAACGTTTCTTAAACCTGTGCGTATATAAATATATCTAGTTGTGTTTAAATTGAAATTTCAGAGAAAAGGAAGATCCTGTTGTTTCCCAAACGTCGAAGAATAAGAAAATCTACAGACATCTCATTCGTAGATAATAAGATCTGTTTCCATTTACTTAATGTTTTTTTCGAGAAACGAAAAGTATTCATGGACTCATAATTAATGAACTTAAAAACGAAATTTGATACCCACAGCTCTTTTCATATTTAATTAGAAACAGTAAGTAAAATTCCAAATTCATTCATTCATTTAGAACAGATTTACATTTGTTGCTTTGAATAATGCCAGACAAGTTAAACAGTACGGTTTACCGTTAGTATTAAGTACTGAACGCAAAATGAACGTGTACATACATCGAAAGTAAGAGAAATATGTTACTCTATAGTCCAAAGTTCAATTGTCTTTTTTCCACTGGTAAAAAATGTCACGTAAGAGCGAATATTAATGAACGATTTCCTGAGTGGTCCCTATATGTAAGTATTTTTTCGATGGTATTACATATATTTGTTTAATTATGCTTATAACCTTATCAACCTTATCAAGTTACAAGTACGGTATAATACATCTATTTACAATCAAGCGCATTCCATTACACGGCAATACAGGAAAGAATCCATCCGGTCTCCCCAATACAACATTAGGGTACATGCATGTACAAATTATATATATATATTTGATCTTAACTAATACACGACAGTAATGTGACCAAAGGTACACACTAATATCTATAAAGTAGATGAAAGTTGGAAGACCTAGTCATGTTATTAATGTGTCCAGTCTCCTGCCTCCCCGCTCCAAAAAATTGATTGCTTTGTACTTACGATGACACGCCCATTCGATCCGTTTTTCAGATGTATAAATCCGTGACACGTGTTTAATTTCTGTATTAATCCTATATGTTCTTCCACACTTAAAAGAAATTCTCTGACATTATTTAGTAAGACACTGACGTCCAAAACGAGAATGGCATGGTCCCCCTACAAGAGGAGGGACGTACGTGCAGTGCTCTATCATACACGTCCGCTAGTACACCCTGCCTCCAAGGCGGACAGAAACACACTATAAATCCTACAGACTGATCCGGCTGGTTTACTGCATTCGATACGAAGAAGCATATGACCCATAATTAATATAGTGTTAAATCCGTACCAAAAGTAAGTCGGTGACTGAACGTGCGTATATCACGGCAAAAGCACGTGACTTAGATATATGGGAAAATGTATTTTATAGACTTTTTTTCCAAGTCTTAACGATTTCGTGTCTACCTCCGGGGTATGACATGTAACCAGGTGGTGCGTTGAAAAACAATTCATGTCTAAAGATAATTATGATATGGATAGCCGACTAAAAATTCTTCTGAAATATAATATCTTTTATCTCTTTTGGAATCTATTGATTAGAAACAAACAAATAATACAAAAACTCTTATTTCAGTTTTTATAAAAAATCATTTAGAAAAAAACAACGTCCGGTAATTTTTCCGCGGGACAATATTGATTTAAATACCGATTTTTCCATCACCCCAGATGTTACAAATTAAAGGCGGAGTGTGTGGATATTTATCTCGATGTAATCATAATCACCGCACTACATCGTTAGTTAACTTTAAGTCGAAATTCTTTTCTTTTCCGTTTTTTCCCCCCGAGTGTTTCGTTTACATCACAGTCATATGATCCTTTTAGAAATACTGCCATGTTACAAGTATATTTCATATTTATCACATGATAACATCGTTTCCTTGTCTAATTTGATAAGTAACTTACTTGTTGGCTTTTAAAGTCAAGTTCGAATATTTCTCGAACTTAAGATGTACATCTTCATATGGTCGTTGTTGTGTTAGCTCCAGTTCTGGTGACTGTCACGTCAGAGCGGCGAGTCACAACTGCTGAATCAATGACAAGTGTGAATATACCTAATTAAGACACTACCATAGTCAATCGTCATTACCTGTGCTTGGCCGAGTCGAAATGCTAGGAACGGATTGCGTTCAAAAGATTTCGTCAATTAGCACCACAAGAAGAGTACTCGGCCGAGGGTTAATTAGACTCATTAACGATGCCAAACGAACCCGTGTAACCCGCGGATATGCAAACCGAAGACACCCACATGAAATGAACTTTTCAGACGACCGAGAAGTTCACTGATCCTCAAAAGACAAGTAAACCGGGGGAACAAACGTGTTGTGTTAGTGGGTTATAATATCATAATAAGTCGAGACCTTGGTTTGATGATACTGATGGCTGTCTATGTTACCATCTGCCTGACGACAAACATTCCCGAAGTAAGCGGTTCCACAGAGTGAACGTGTGATTCGCGCATGCCGCTATTGAGAATCGGATATCTTTTTAAAAACAAGAAGACTTCGAAGTCTGGAATATAAATTCTGCAGGTGCAACTTGTTAAATCTCATTTGTCTTTTACGTCTTCCTGTTGTTTTTAGATCGAATTTCTGTTATTTATACGTTCTTTGGGGGTTAAAGGAAGTTTTAATGCGAGCAGCTAGGCGTTGAAATATTGTCACTGAATAACTTCTGATTGTCTTGGCTGACATTTGAGAATCAATTAACGCACCATTCTTACCCATGTGATAGGAAATGAATTATTACCACGTCACAGCATGTCAGTTTCCGGTATCAAATTTCTTACTATTCAGCGTTACGATGAAACGATAAATTGTTAACTCGTGCATAACAGGTGAGTAGGGGTCATGTGCGCTTTCATGCTTTACATGAATGTCAATCTCATTCAATATACAAATGTATGGACTTTGTTTCTTGACTTCTTTTAACAAATCGTCACATGTGTTCAGCGTGTGTATGTGATCATTTTTGAGTTCAAATACTTGTGTGTGTGGTGTATTTTAACACAACCGAGAACATGTTTATAAAAAAAATGGGTAGTGCTCAACACAAGAATACCTAGACATCTAAAGTAAATATTAACTTCTATACCTCCCGATAGCTTCGATGCACTTCGTTCCGAGTTGGGTTTCTTCCAGTACAAAGTGGACCATCAACAGGTAGCGTTACTATTTTTTACCATTAGATAGTTTCTGGTTAGTCTTAAGATTATCTTATCACTGTTTATAAAACAAAATTAGACCGGTCATGGTAGATTATCGCTGTCTGTTGATCTATCACATTATCAGCACTAGTTCCTATCGGAGATACAACAAAGTACGCCCACATTACTGTGAGGTCAATGTTGGCAGGTCTGATCAGTCGGAGCCCTTAAGTCGCTTTATCTAGAAGTTTCTTCCGTCACATCATTACAAATCAGGTAAATCTAAGAGAACCATCTGTACAGAACGTTAGAGTGTGGTCTATCCAATGTGGCATGGAACTCTGTCTAGGTTATACCGAGACAGACTGGAATATATAGAGCAAAAGTATTGTAATATTTAAAAATAATTGTCCAGCATGTTTCTCTGTGCTATTAAGTATGTAAATATTCACTTCGATACACGAATATTTTACAGCATGTTTCTTACATCAAAACCAGCAGGTAGTCAGCACCATGTCTAGTTGCTTACAAGACATATACGGGGTGATACACTGTTTATATACAGGCTCACCATAACACATGCCTGTGTCTGTATACAAGATAACATTCTGGTGATCAGATACAGACTCGTTGTCCAGAACTGACCCCTACAAGCCTCTGTAACAAAGGTTAGTTACTATTCACCGAATAGCCAAGCGAGATTGTGTTTGGGATAACTTTGGAGATTGTTTTCTTTCAGCGTGTTTTAAATAGCTTAATATGTACAACTACTTTAACAGCCCAATTGTCCGTTGCCATTCCCAAGCACACTTCAGCAAGGCCAGGAAATATAAACCAATCAACGTCTCGTGTCCGGCGCCAAAAAATCTGGTTCTTCTTCGCTCGTGCGTTCATTGATGCATACAGGTACCCATGTATGCTTGTTTATTTCATATATCGTGTAAATCCGTACTTACTGTGTGAGCACACAACGTCAACATTCGATGATGGAAGATAACAGGGTTTTCTCCGCAGTTTTACATACATTTCATATATGTTACTTGATGGTATATAAAACAGCATATCATTTATATAAAGATGTGGTCATATTGCGGATATTCCAGAGGTTGCCAATATACATGCATATATGTATGAATATTTCAGGACATGGAGAAACGTTAGCTTAATTCAGATTGAATCATGCACAAAAAAAATCTAAAAATATGAATTCCATCATATAACTTCATTATTATCAGCAGTACATGTGAGTTCAATATTCAATTTTTTTTTCAACTTTAGAGGTGACTTTGAAAACTACAAAACCCCTCTCAGCCTTTTCCCGTCAAGTTTACCAGGCTCTGATTGCTTAGACTTAGTGATTCTAAGTACACAGATTAAAAGATAACAGGAATTGGGATTCGTACAATTTGTATGTTCTTAGCTACAGACAGGTCTGAGAACCTTCTTTTGATTACCCATAATTACTGCCTCTCCAACAATAACACATGTATTTAGCATTCTCATTAGCATTTGCATTAGCATATGGGAAAAGTCCACCAAGTCGTCTCTCCAGAACCAAGATAAACTGGACAATTGAACAACGACCAGTGATAGACGCAATTAAGTCAAACGGGAATTAACTTTAAACATAGCAATGCGTATCATAGATCGTGACTTGTGGTCATATCCGACTGATAATTGTTTCCGCTTGCATCTATGTTAATAATTACTCCCCTGTTTCCGGAGCTTTTCTAATTAATAGTCGCTCCCGCATGCCACTTCCGGAGTGAAAGTCTTCTTTGCTCTCACTGAATCGTCAATAACTACGTACACGCTTATGAACCAGTGGTAAAGATACTTAAATAAAAATAATATTATGACATTTTTATTTTAGGAGTCTAAATAGTTCGGGTTTGTTTACTTTGATATATATTTTGACAAGAACGATGACGACAAGTACTGGGATTAGACTGTTTGCTCTACGCACCGTTGTAAACAAGCGATGCTAAGTTCAGGGTGTATAGTCAATATTTCATTCGGAAACAGATACCAAACTGAATTCCATCCTGAGCTATCTTTTGAAAGTCAGTTCTAATATTTATGATTTATTCTGTTACAAATATCTAAAAGGTTTCTGGCAGAGCTTTTATCATTGGAGCCGACTGAAAATAATAATAAAAAAAAAATGAATATAAAAAGATATTCACATTTCATCCGATCGATAGATACATGAGCTGTATTATCAGGGTCGGGTTTGAAGGATAACAGGCAATGAGGGCTTGTGAGGGGGATCACGAAGTACTTCCGTCTCCATAACCTCTACAAGAGAACAAATTTAGCAGACAGCACATACAGTAACACGTGTAAAGCACACGCCAAAATATCTCAAATGATTTTTTTATCTGGAAGACACTGATTTGAAAAATATATCATACAATAAATAATGAGGTTACTACGTTAAACGATATGGTGTACAGTGCATGCCAAGTCTAACCTGACCAGAAATGATTCATGAGTAATGTTGCAGGTATAAACCAGTAGTTCTGAATATTGTAGTCTCTTTCGGGAACACTCTACATTCATCATTCTTATTGCACTACATGTTACGATAGAAGTATTTCGTGACTTTTTAAGAAATGGGTGCTCAACGACCCGTTGAATTAAATGTAAAAATAAGATATGTTCAAAGAAAGTAGAGTTAATAACTGAGATTGAAAACGCCATGTCCATACTTCATTGATCATGGCATACACACTAACAATCAAACATACAATACAGAATACACTATGCAGATCTTATCATTTTTTCTTTTCACTTTATGCCCAATATGAATAATTTTATTGATAAGTAAATTCTAAATAGCATTAGCAAAGTATGTTTTTAAAATGTCTACGACTGATAAGAAAAAAATCAAAATTAAACAAAAATGAAATAGGGTATGGAGATACAAAATGAAATTATGACTTATTGACTTATGAGAAATCACGTGATTTACTTAACACCAGGCTCGTGTAAGGCTATATACGTTGTGGC